AAAAAAAAGAAAATAAGATTGAGAGGCACTTGTTCGGGATTTGTTCCATGAGGCAGGCCTGCCAAAGGATCAATTGCACTGTGCGTAGTGCATGTCCGAGCACGAAGACGCGGGAGCTGACCTTGGGGGGATGCGTTATTGCATCACGATGCTTCATAGAGCGATGCCTTTTGGCGCAGACGCGATTAAAGGACCAGTGGCCGCAGTCGCAGCAAACAGCGCTGGGAAAAAAGGTGGTCAAATTTTCGTTGGCATGTACAGGATGGCTTTCAATGTAGTGCGCCATCAGCGGATCGCCCTTGCGCATTGAGCACACACATCCTGGCGCAGGACAGTCAATCCAGTTCAGAGAAGGAAAGCACTCGGAAGGGCGGCGGAGATCGGGTGGAGTGGAATGGTGCGTTTGAACATGGCGTTGCTCATTGGAATCCGAGACAAGCATGTTGCAGATTGCACAAGACACCGGAGAAGGAGTCGCCATAATGGCTGCACGCAAAGAAAAGAAAGGCAAGGTGAGATGGTTCACGCATCAATAAATGGCAGCGCATGCGAGGAATGAGGAAGGGTGGGGACTCACCGTTGAGGAGAAGGAAAATGCAACGGAAATTGTAACGGAAGAACGAATCTCAACGGTCAAACCATAAGGGATGACACTTGGTACGTGACCGAAGTTGTCTCGATGAACAGGTGAAAAAGTGTCTCCGCGCCGGAGGGTCAAAGCTTCCGATGACCATTGCAATGACAACTTGATGGCATTGCCATTGTCTGCGACAACAATCCGCGCGTGTCGTGTTGCGACAAGTTTCAGACCAAAAAAAAACGCACGCTGTGACTGGCACGTGTGCCATGGCAACACACACACACACACACACACACACACACACACACACACATGTAAGAAGAAGAAAGCCGTATCACACATTCCACAGGACATGGCTATGATGGGTCAGCAACAATCGGGTCGTGAAGATAAGACCCCGAGACACAGGGAAACAGGCAAGCGCTCAAGCACTGAAGGTAATTGCAGAGGGACACGGTAGCAGGACAACGTCTGCCCATGAAATGACATTGTGTCTTGGGTGCCGTCCCCGACGTTGAATCCCAAATGCCATTCCAAAAAGTGCGTTGCCTGATTGCAAGCATAGGCCAGCTCGGGGTGAGGAAGGGGGTTCGCAGGTTACTCGCTCGAGTCAAGCCCTGGCCAGTGTTCTTGGTGACCAGGCCTCCGTCACACTTGTCCGGGACCCTCTGGGCTATATCACACGATGACGCAGAATGGAGGAGCTTGTGCCCCAGAGCAGAGGGCCCAACAGGAGACCTACTACTGCGATCTCTGCACGCAGGCAGGCGGGAGAGTGCAGTGGATGTCGTGGATGCATCCCGAGCATGTTCAAAGGTGTGGCGGGCCTGGCTAGCTGGGTGTCGCAGGGCATGATTTCGCGGCCTCATGCAGCACCCTGATTTTTTTTTTTTCTTTTCAAAAGGGCCGTCGCGCCAGCTATGGGGGTGTTTGCGAGCGGGAGACGACGCCGCCGGTCTGTGAAGGTATGTCAGCGGTATGTCGATGAGAAGCAAGAAGATGTTGCGTTGCAAAGAAGTGTTTGGCCTTGACTATGACGCCATTTTAGGTCACTCATCATCGTGATTCGCCGTCATATCACGGGTCGCCCCCAGATTCACATGACTGCGTTGTGCACCAAAAGAAACCTCTTGTTGTCCGCTCTCACGCCTTTGGGACACTCAACTTGACAACCCGAAGAGCGTGTAGGCAAAGCCACGTGAGCAATTCGCTGTGTGAAGGGGCAATCCTTGCAGGGTCAATCTTCCCTGCGAACAATGCCTTGCTCGGTTGATTATTTGTCGGAACGCCGCGGTCGGCGGGCGGTGTCGTGCTGGTACAAACGAGGGCACGTGACAGGCAGGCAGGCAGGCAGGCAGGCAGGCAGGCAGGCAGGCGCATTTAGGGGAATCGGTCGAAGCGCTTACGCTGCCCTTTGGCGTGGTTCCGTTACATTTTGGCTGACGGTGCTGGTCTTGACGGTCGTTCATGAAAACATACAGGATTTCGGACTAGAGATGTGTTGTCGAGATGGATTATTTCAAGAGAGAGCAATCAGGTCGTCTATGAATCTTCCCTGTTTTCAAAGCTGAAGAAGAGACAAAGCCCAAACGCATCCCATGTTGAGGGAAACGACTCGACAAAAGGTCAATACCCCACGTTGTTGTGGAAGGTAAGGTGTAAGGTGATGTTTCGTGCAGGTAACGAAGGGCCTGCAAGACCATAGATTATGGGATTTCATGTGGGATGGGTGACGTTGCAGTGGGGGCATTAATGCACGTGAAACCTGTCCTCACCTCTTGCAGCTGCCCGGGATGCACATGGGCGGTTCATATGGCAGCCGTCGGCACGGGAGGGTGTCGTGATCTGGCACAGCGGCAGCGCGCCAGACAGATGAGTCGAACCAAAACGGTTCATCGGTCGGTCCATCCCGGCACTTGAAGTGTATGTGCATGTGCGTGTGTATGCGCGTGTGTGTGTGTGTGATCTTTTAAGATCCAGTAACCCAAGGCTTCGCCTGGTTTTGCAACCATTTCGAGACTCTCATGACGCCCAATGATGGCGCAACTCCTTCGCTCACGATCAGGACCCTTGGGGCTGTCAGTGGATGTCAGTGGCTGAAGTGGAAGGCGCATGCCATCACCCACATCCCAAGCAGCATTCCTCCATCCATCGTAAGTGAAAAGAGAGAGATGTCCTGAGTGACCGCCTCACATTGTTGCCTGTTGCCTCTGTTGCGTCTGCGTGGGGGCGTCCTATGCATGCTACATATATATGAGAGAGAAAGAGATTGAGAGAGATTGAGAGAGATTGAGAGAGTTTGAAAGAGTTGTAGTTAGAGAGAGAGAGACAAGAGAGAAACAGATTTAGTTTAGAAGGAGAATTAGAGGGAAAGTTAGAGAGAGAGACACAGAGCCAGAGTGTTTTAGAGAGTGTGAAGAGATCGAGATACTTTGAGAGAGAGAAGAGAACTTGAGAGAGAGAGAGAGAGAGCCGTCATCTGACCCCGTGGTGGTGGTGTTGTGGACAACAACGGGGGTCAGTGGGACAAATGCACGCGCGCACCGCATTCAACTGCGTTTGAGCCATTTTTCTTCTCTTTGACGGAGGATCGATTGTCTCGCGCACCGCTGCCGTGGTCGATGCTCTTTGCTCCTTGGCCGCCATCGATACACACACCCTTTAGCCGGTCGGTGATCTGTCCTTCTTCCCCGCTCCTTCCAAAGATTCTTTATTCCCCACGCGCTTCAGCCTCTTCTGCATAAGTGCTGTGCTTCTTGCAACCCACACACATTGCTGCCCTTTTGTTGGTGGTGGTGGTGGTGGTGCTTTGCTGGGTTTAAAAAGTTTCCTGACCGCGCCTCGGCGTTTTCGCTTGCCATCTTCAGAGAGTCAGGATCGTAATCGTGTGCTTTGGCTCGACCGTGCTTTTCTTTTCCCCTCGTGTTTCTTGTGCTCGAGAAAGCCTCGGCCATTCCAGGTATGGTCGAGTTGTGTGCTCCTCCACCCCATCTTCTGCACGCCCCAACCCTGTTTGCCATTTGGACACAACCACCGCTTCATTCTCCATTGGTTGGGTGTCTGAGTGTGCATCATCGCCAGACCGAAAGACTTGCCGCGTAACTTGCTGTTTGTTTGTACACATGGCTCACAGCACTGTGCAGCACTGTGCAGGGGTGTGTGTGTGTGTGTGTGTGTGTGTGTGTGTGTGTGTGTGTGTGTGCGAGAGAGCAGTGTGAGAGTCTCACCCTCACACACACACATACACACACACTCACTCACTACATCTTTTTATGTATCGCCTTGTTCCCTTGCTTCTGTTATGATGCGTCATTGTTAGTTCCTACAACGTTTGTCGAGAGTGGTGGTGGGGGGTTTGACTTGGAATGTTGGTCGTGATGACATTTAGCATCCATAGTCCCCAACCACGTTGTACCAAACCACATCACCTTCTCGTATTGAACCCCTCTTTTTTTTTCTTGACTCTTGGCTGCCCGTTGGGAATTATGATCGTCCCCACAACTTCACACACACACACACACACACACACACACGCACCCTGGTGACACCCAACCGGATTGAGTCAGGACAATTTTTGACCTCATGATGCTCGGGTTTTTTTGGTTGGCTCGTTGGTATGGCGCCAGGTCCTTGATGATTGACGCTTTGCTTTCCTCTGGCCGTCTCGCAAACCCTCGAGTCAAGGTGAGAGGTGCCCTCCTTCCTTCTGCTCCAATTTGAGACCTTCGCGCTTTTCCCTCTCTCTCTCTCTCTGTGTTTTCAACTCGTGAAAGGTATCTCCCACCCTGGTTGGGGCTTCGTTCCACCCCAACTGCCTGCTCTGCCCAACTCAACCCATTCCCAGTCTCTCCTCCCACGTTCAAGCTACACTCGCTTCTCCCGTCTCTGAAACAGCTCCCTGGTTGGGGGTGTTGGTTCATTTTTGTGCCTCGCCAGGTCACTGCCATCTTATTATTCTTGTCTGACCCCTTCTCCCCTCCCCAATCACTCTTGTTGCTTCCTCATGACTTGACTATGTTCATCTGTTGTTGGGAAGCGAGGCGACTGGTCTTTGTTTCTGGAAGCACATGCGTGAAGCCCGCTTTTGAGAGCAAAACGTGTGAGGACTCATTTTCCTTTTGCTGCTGCCTTCTGCTCCTTGCATTTCCCCCTTCCCTTCACCCCCGCGCAGCATCAACCAAAGCACCATATCAAACGGCAGCCCAGCTGGAACGTTGTGCCACGGTTGAGCTGGACAAATTACTTGTCACTACAGCCAGTTCACCCTCTAACCTTCCACCATGTATGTGCTTCCGACCCGTGTACTCTCCCGGCACCCGGCCCAAGCCGTTCTTAGCAACGATGCGAGGCACCTCCCGTGACGACCTTTTCCCTCTCTTGCTATCCCTTGCTGTCACCAATTCACTTAGGTACGGTTTTGTTGCCGAGGCGCTCGTCGAGTGGCTTCAAACGCGCGACAATGCCGATGAAGAAATTGCCAAAATCCTCGAGCTGGCGCGGTGTCGACACTGACATTACCTTCAACACAGCACAACCCGACGATGAGACCCTCATTTGCGTCGCCGTTTCTGCAGAGGTGCGCGCTTTCATCCCCTCGCCGGCGCTGAACGGTTTCGTTTCCCCTTCTCGTCCGCGGCACGCAGCCCTGCAGCTGCGGTGTCTTTATTAACTTTCCTTCTCTGCCCGCTCGTTCTCCCCTCCAGGTGACGGGTCTCACGGTGGAAGAGGTTCTGTTTCAAACAGGCCTGTACCAGCTCCCGCCCTTGATTCGCAAGGGCTACCTGCCTTTGGCCCAGAGGTATGGAGCTGCCGGCCGGCCGCCACCCCAAGCCATGCATATACACATGCGCTTGCTGGTCTTGGTTCACTCGCTTCCCACTTATTTGGTTCTTGTCTTGCCCCTTGTACTCTAGTTTGGGGGATGATTTTTTCATGTTGTGTCGCAACCTGGACACCATGCACATGAACTTTGCCAACGTCTACCCCTCCATGTCCGGTCCCTCCATCAACGCATTTCGCAATGAGGATAATACCATTCTCATGCAGTATTTCTCCAGCCGCGACGGCATTCGTCCCTACCTCTGGGGCCTTCTTACCGCTGTTGCCAGCGCTCTTTTCGACCTCCAGCTCGAGTTTACCACCATCAAGCGCCGTGAGGACGTCGGCTACGACGAGTTTACCATCAAGACAGACAACATCGAGCGTACCTTTGGCACCCGCATCAAGACTCAAGCCACTTACTCTTCAAACAACGGCAACCTCAATCTGAGTCCTGATACCCTCGATGCCCTTTTTCCTTGGCATCTGTCTTTCAATCGCGACTTCAAGGTCACTTCGATCGGTAGCAACTTGGCCAAGCGTTTTGCGAAATCCTGCGTGGGCGACTCTTTGGACGCCATTGCTCGCGTGGTGCGACCCTACACCATCAAGTTTGAGTTTGACAAGAAATCGGAATGGGATGGTTCTCAGATGGTCTTTGCAGTTGTCCGCGACGATGCCGCGAGAGACGAGCCCGTTTCTATGAAGTGCCCTGTCACTGGCCGTACGTACGAGCTCACTGGAGCAGCTGCCGAGCGCTATCGCCGCGTCGGTGTGGCCAACCTCAAAGGCCATCTCTTTCTCAAGGGCGAAGTCCGCTATGAGCAGGAGATGGACGTCATGGTCTTTGTTGGCACTCCCCACCTCAGCAACTTGGAGGAGCTCAAGACGTATGACATTGACCTCGTGGAGTTGCCCGTCCATTCTAATGCCCGTGACATGGTGTTTGCGCAACAACACTCAAGCGCCACGATCGGCATGGCCAAGGAGTTGGAGGTGCTAACGCGCGAGCTTGAGGTTGAGCGTGAAAACGTCAATCGTGAAAAGATGAGGATTCACGAGCTCTTGTACAGTATTCTGCCTCCCACCATTGCCGACTCGCTGCAGAAGGGCATCATGCCCGGCGCCGAGCGTTACGAAAATGTTTCACTCCTGTTCTCCGACATTGTGGGCTTCACCAACATCTCCAGCAATGTGTCGCCCACGGATGTGATGGCCATGCTCAACGAGCTGTTCTCCAAGTTTGACGTACTTTGCGAGAAGCACAACGTTTTCAAGGTCGAAACAATCGGGGATGCTTACATGGTGGCCAGCGGTCTACCCGTGGCCAATCCACGCCACGCAGATAACCTCGCCGGTTTTGCCGTGGACATGGTGGCGGCAGCTGCCACTGTCTTGTCACCCATGGATGGCGAGGCCTTGCGCATTCGCGTCGGTCTTCATTCGGGTGTCTGCATGGCCGGTGTCGTGGGCATGAAGCGTCCGCGCTACTGCCTCTTTGGCGACACGGTCAACGTGTCCTCGCGCATGGAATCCACAGGCGTTCCCGGCGCTGTGCAGTGTAGCTACGCTTTTTTGAAATCTCTTCACAAGCGCTCCGAATGGAATTACCTCACCCGTGGTCGTATCGCGGTCAAGGGCAAGGGTGAGATGAAGACCTTCTTCCTCCTGGGTCGCGAGAACGGTGACGTGCAACTCGAGGCCCCCGACGTCGAGGTCCTAAAAGCCAGCGGCCCCTCCACCCCTGCATTGGACCTGCATCGTGATCTGCAACGCACTGTCTCTCCAATGCCGGGTGCGCAAGCCATGTATGACCCGCGATTTGCACTCTCCACCGGCCCTAGCCTTTCCCAATTACCGAGCTCCATGGCCTTGGGGTCTGATGTCCCGCGCAACGTGCGCCGCGCTGATGCTTCCATGGAAGAGGAGGAATACTTCACCGTCGAGATTGACATGGATGGTCAGGCCCTGACAGTGCCCTTTGCCAGCGGCTTTGCCACACTGTCGGAGGTGATGGCCGATGTGCTGGAGGACGCACAGCAGGCCAGCAAGTATCGCTTCTTCACCGATGCCGCGTATTCGAAGATGCTTCTTTCCTCCATGACTCTGCGCCAAATTCAATCCGCTATGGCGACAACGGGGCGTATCAAGCGCACCAGCCGGGTTCTTGAGCTCTACCTTGGGCCCGTGCCAGTGAAGGTGCGTGCTGAACAGTGATGGCGCACCGCACCACATACCACATGTGCAGAAGCAATCGCTTGTTGCACCACCTTCAGGTACTTCTCTCACACACGCATCTGGTTTGGAAATTTCCTTAGGACACCTCCCCGAAAGTGGTCAGCCACTCCACCACCATGCAGGCTGGTCCCGACTTTGCAACAGCAACTCCGGATTTGTCCTCACTTCGCATTGGCGGTGAGCCCAAGGTGGACGTTTGGAGCTTTGTGCATTCACACATTCTCTCAGTGATGCCCACATCACAGAAAAAGGGGGCGTCTTCGTCTTCCTTGTAGTTGCTAATCACACCTCATCTCTGGTTCCAAAGTTTGCGTGTATGTGTGCATGAATGTGAATGTGAATGTGAATGTCGTGATCATGTCAGTGACTCTTTGGAGTGCATGTATTCTGCTCTTGCGCGCGCCTCGTTGTTCCGAGGCGCATTGCAATGAGAAATGTTGGCGCTAGGCGCCTTTGCACGAGCCTGCGTATTTCTACTTCCACGCGCCTCGTCTTTCTTAGCTTATTCACTTGTTTCCCTCGTGGCCCTTGCCTGCGGCTGTCGCATCGCGGATGCGACTATTTCTTCTTTTGCTTGTCCTTCATCTGTCTTTTTCTGCTGAGAACGAGATCAAGTTGCCTGGTTCTGTGCTCGCCAATAATGGCCGGTGCAAACCGTTCGCATTGGGAGTATTTCGGGCTTCTTCTCACCCCTACTAATTGAATCTTGATTGATCCAACAACCCGCTTGATGTCCCTCATCAGCCAAAGGAAAAGTAAAAAACAAAAGGTCTTATCAGATTCAAGTTTGCAGGTTCAAATGACATTGTAATTTTGAAAATTGACGTCGAGAACAGCTGTTACCAACACCCCACCTGGAATGAGGTTGTGCATTTTTTTTCTTTTTCTCGAACAACACCACACGAAATGGCAGCGCGACGAGGAGCAGTGGTGGCGGTACGGGCGGTTCAACAGCAGCAGACTGCGGTTCATCAGCGACGAATGGCTAGCTTTGACAGCTTGCTTCGTAATTCGGCGCTCTTCAAACTGGACAAGGCCATCTACGGGCGTCATGTTCTCGGCACCATTCAGGAGAACCTCCATGACAAGGTCGTGGTCGATGTCGGCCTCAAGTTTCCCGTGACCCTCCTCCGCAAGGAGATTGGCTCGGCCGCCAGGTACGTTCGTCGTGTCAGTGTTAGCCCGCGCGCCATCCTGTGGAAGAGAAAGAAAGAAAACGTTCCTCTTGGCGTCGCTCGCCGTTGCTGGTGCTCTATGTTTCCAACCCACTCACCTCAATCCTTTTGGTTTCGGCAGTTATCATCGCACACAGCCGGGACGGCGTGTCGTTGTGCAGCTGGATGACCCCGAGTTGACGGCGCACTTTTTGGGCGATGACCGCCACACTAGCACCATGCAGGCCAAGGGTTCTTTTGTTCGCCTGCCCCTTGACATTGAAAGTAGCCTGCAGGCTTAAAGCGCCTCGACCTGGCATCGTATGGGTCTGCTTCGATAGCACGTTGTGGCAGTCCAGCCCTGGCTTCACTCATAGGGCTGCAGCTGGTTGCAAAGCCTTTGTTGGACTGGCAATGTTTAGTCCCAAGCCCGCCCCGACTCCAGACGCGAACCCGATCACCCGTGCCTCTGTCGTTCTTCCTGCTCGTTCTTTGTATCATATCTTCTGAGTGTGCCAGTTTTCCAAGCCACGGAGTGGCATTGTGTTTTTGGCTCGTTTTAGGCTGAAGCAATCAAACCCGGCGCCTGTCGTTTGCCGTTAAACCGTGTGGTCTGGGCAGGCAGGCAGTGGTTGCAAGCCAAGCATGCTGGCTGGCTGTGGCGGTGCTCCCTCAACGCCTGCAGCCATGCCCCGCACTCGTGCTCTCTCTCAATCAATTTCAATCTTGATCATCACGGCATGCTAACGGCGTGGCGACAATGACAGTCATAGCATTGTTGTTCAGGCCATGGACCAGTTTGAAACTTGGTGCTTGAAACGATGCCGACCCGCGGGTTCAAGTTTTCAATTTCGATGACCCAAAGCCAGAGGGACGTTTATCAACACATTCAAAGGCATTTCCTAGCTGGACAACCAGGTGCTGGATGGAAGCCAGCCTCCAAATCAAATACACAGTACGCTCGAAGAAGACAAGCCAATTTTAAAACAACTCAATCGCTATTTGGGATTGAGGGAGATGAGTGCGGCGCTGCAGTCGGCACGCACGACGGTCCCAAGCACGGCTTGAGGTCTGAATAGTTTAAAGCAAACAAGCCAAAAAATGACAACAGAAAAAAAAAAATTAAAAAAAAAGGGAATACCGGCTGCTGCCCATTACATGACGAGTGCGGAGAGTCCCAGGCGCTGACAGAGCAGCAGCTCGTAGACAAGCGACAGACGGTCCCAGTTGAGCGGGGCCAGGCGCGGATCAGCAAAGATAGGGCCGCGAATCCATTGATCTCCCACCACGTCAACCACACGGACGGCCAGCAGGCGACCCTGCCGAGCATACATCATATGGTAGCTGCCCTGAGGCACACGTCCTGAGCCGCTGAGGCGAACGCCAGGAGTTCCAAAGCGTAGCGGCGAGCTGACAAAGTTGCGAATGTAGGCCTCGATACTGAGGTCTTCGGCCCGCGCATTTCGAGCGTGATGATTGCGCACGCACAGCATGTAGGTACGCTCGTCAAAAGCAGCCGGCACCATCGTCACAAGAACCGCGGCACATGCGCTCACCGAACGGCCGTTCATTGTGGCCATGCGACCAACCAGGTCATGGCATAGAGAGTGAAGACTCATAGCCGCCAGCTCGGGCTGGGGGGGCAGGGCCAGCAGTTTGTGGCTCTCGTTGCGAGGTGGAGTGACGGCGGCGCTGGCACTCAAGTCTGGCCGTGAAGCGCGGTGAGGGCTCGATGTTTGAGGGGCCACACGTTGGCTTGCGCTGTTGCTGGCGGGCGTTTCCTGGCTTGCTAAAGTGTCACTCTCGCCGCCAGCAGGCGAGTTTTTATTCTCGCGATCGCCTCCGCTTGCTTCGCGACGCAAACGCCGGCGGCGGCCCAAGGCTGAGGCATAGACGGTCTGAAGGCCGGCCGCACGATCTGGTCGTCGTGCACGATTTCCAGCAGCACGAGGCTGGCTGCGCGCCTCAGTGGCGGACAAGGCCTTGCTGTCATTTCTGAGGGGCGTAGTGGTGGTCAGCAAATGGCTTGCAAAATTGTGCGTGATTGCGGGGCTTTTAGGTGCCGCTGTTTCCTCACAGAGGTCATAGAGCGAAGTCAACTGAGGGTTGACCGTGGTGCCCGTGATTTGGTACATGGCAAAGCGGAGCATCTCGAGACGATGCTCTGTTTCAAGGGCTACTTCAGCGCTGGCGATTGAGATCCTAGTCGGTGGGGAACGCGGGGTGGAAGACGATGAGCCACCACCAAAGATCATGTACACGAGTGCAAAGAGTAGACTGGAGCACGAGTGTTGGCCACAAAAGCCTACCGTGTGCGCGCGAGGCCTTGGCGCGTCCATGTGCACCCTTGACTGTGGAAGGGAGCGCCAGCACACATGAGAATGTGAGCAGTATCAAAGCCAATTTCGGCCTCGGTGAACAACGGGGCTGACGGGTTACAAGCAGCCACCTGCACATACCGGTGATAGCCCGACTGCACGAGTTCCAGAAAACGCTCGGGGGTAAGTTGGGCAGCCTCCATCTCGTTGGGGAGAGCGGGGCTCCAGTTGAGGGGCACGGAGGGCTTGGCAGGCCGGGATGCAGGGGAGGCAAAGCGCATGTCCATGTTGATGGGTTCGGCCTTGCACCGCTTGGGAGCAGGGGCAAGATCCAGGAGAGGCATCAAGGGGTCAGGCTGGTTCGTGCAGCGTAGGGGACGGGAATCGGAAAGGCCGGAAAGGCCAGGAAGATTGTGGGTCTCGGCGGCTGGCATAGTGGAAGGATAGGTGAAGGCGTTGCTGCCGGCGTTGGCCGGACCCGGGGGCGTGGCACTTGTGGGCGTGCCTGGCTCGGCCCAAAACTTGCCATTGCCATTGAGTGAGACGGGGGTGGTTAGAACGGGCGTGTTGAGGGCGGACCAGAGGTGTTCGAGGCCTCGTAGGCTCTGGCGTGGTGTCAGTGGCAAAAGACCCGCCGAGGGTGAAGCTAAGGCGAGGCCACTGGGCTGCGCGTGGACCTGATGGTGACTGGTGCTGGGCAATCGTAGAGCAAGGGGTTCAGGCATGGTAGGGGAGGTGTCAAAGAGGGCCAGATCGTCGTGGTTGGCATTCAGTGCGGCTTGCAGTAAATCGGGTTCTGGGGTTGATTGATTCGATGAGGTGTGGGGCAGATCGATGAGAGGCCCGCTGTCATTCATGAGGTCACGCAGCACAGCCGAGTCGAGCAGATCCGTGGGCAAGCAGGCGTCCATCGGCAAAGCCATGGTGACGAGTTTGGGCTGACAGCAGCGAGCGTACGGCAGCGGGTTCAATGGCGTTCAATGGCGTTCAATGGCTTGTGCAAAGGAATGGAGATGAGATGGAGGGGGTGAGGAGCACGACGTGGCCAAAGGACGTGGGCTGGTCCGGCTGGTGGCTCTGAATGAGGCAGATGGCAGCGTTCAAAGCTTTTGGCCACAACCACTGTGGGCTCGGGGAAGACGGCTGGTGAGCGATGGCAGGTTCCTCGCGGGTGGGTGGGGGCGGGGTAAAATGCGGCTCATGAAAGCGCTGGTGTGCCTCAAGCATTCACTGGTCAGCTTATTCCAGCAGTGGTGTAAACCCTGAAACCGCAGGAGCAGGAGGTGAGGGAAGGAAGGCATTTGACCGTTGGAAAGGGAGGGGATAAGGAGATGCACAACGTTGCCTGACCTCCAGGAAGGAAGACAGAAGGGGAGGGCATGTTCTGCGTGATCGAAGGACAAAGGCGACGACAGCAGAAAGTAGAAAGACTTTTCCTTGCCCTCCGGCCAGACAGGTAGGTGTGCATTGGAAATGAGGAGCAGACAACAAACACCAGTAGTCGCCATGGATCAGAGGGGGTGGTGCTTGTGCCCGAGTGCGTGTGTGCGTGTGTGCGTGCGATATCTCGTTTGGCACTAGGGCAGGTCCCTGGGAGACAGAGGCACATGGGAAAGACCGTTCGCATCCAAAAACCATGCCAGCTCAATACACCCACAAACAAGGAGCAGGCGGCGACAAAAGTATTGTGGGTCGGCCATAGTTTTATGATCGGACATGTCAACGTGCCTCCGCACGTCTACGAGCGTGTAGTCTCTACTCATCAGTGACGACAGGTGGGGTTTCTTTTTTTGGGGGCACAGGCAGGGCCCAAACCCACAAAATTGTGCGATGAGGTCAGGGGTATGTGCGCACCAAACCCTCCATCGGCGGGCGGACTTGACCCATTTCCTCAAACCTCGCTCCGACCATGTCCACGAGGCCGCGACCGTCACCTCCCCGTCCTGCTTCAATGTGCTGCCCGGCTGCGGTGTCGCACCGTGCTCATGCCCGCCGCGCCGCGACCCTCCCACTCGGCATGCATGCAGGCAGGCACCTACATTCCATCAAGGCTCCCTACAAAGTCATCTACATATCTGTTAACAACAGCTGTTACCGACATTTTGATGCAAGACTAAGAGTCTCCCTTGTAAACTCGGTGGAGATTATCTGACAAGTCGATAGGCTTGTCAGCATGCTGACAACTCGGCATCCCGCCCGCGACAACCAAGTGTCAGTTTTGGGACACACGGCCGAAATGTGCCAAAATTTTGACAAAGGTTTTGAGAATTTTTTCTTGCGTGCATTTTTGTGCCCGCTCTGTTGCCGTTGTGTTGGGGGTGGGGTCGCCTGCAACTCTGATCAGCTGCGCGCTGCTTTTCGGCTTGCCTGCGCTTGCGCACGATGAGCCGCTTGCTTCGTATGTATGCTTTCTTCTTGCGATGACCGATGACACCAAAGTCGACGGGTGGGTGGGAAGAGGTGTCAGGGACTTGCATAGGTTCGTGGGTTTCGAGTTTGTTGTGATTTTGTTCCTGAACGCCGCGCGCCGTCTTACACACGCGACATCACACACAACATGGTGTCCATACTCCTTCGCCTCCTGGTTGCCTACTTGTGCTTGCCTCCTCAAACTCTTACGCGTCTCCAGCCCCTCATTCGACCAGGGTTTCATGTGCTTTCGCTTCACCGGCAAGAATGGAATGACACTTCGCCCCCTCTCACGCGGATATGGACGACGCTGCTCAGGCTGCCTGCCGTCGTCAGCCCATGCATGTCCCCAAAATACCATCCTCCCCCGACTGCTCGCATTGAACGAAAATAGTTGTGATCATGGGCGGAGCCTGGTGCCACCAGCGTTCTGCGTTGTCAACTCTGGTATGGCACGGGCGCGGCGTCCCATTCGGGGGTTGGCCAGCGCTGCCCGGCACAGGTGAGCCGGGTGTGGAGAGGTTCTCAGGCACAGAGCAGGCCTCTCAAGAAGCACGCCACGTCTTTCTAATGTGAGAGGAATATGACCCATTTCAAGCGATTCATGCCGCAATGCCAGCAAATAAGCCTCGGCTTGCTGTTTCATCATGCGCCTGCGAGTTGCAGCACCACAGGCAACATTAGAGTGTGTGCGACTGGCACTTGCCTCACTCGGGTGGGGCGGTGCTTCGCATGCAACAATGGTATGGCGAAACATTCGATCTCAAAACCCCTTTCTCAGCAAACGTGTGCCACTGCCTGTCTGCTGGCGTGCCCGACTTTCAGCAAACCTGGTGTGCCCAAAGACCACGTCACATCGCCTGCGGCCCCAAACAGCGTCGCCAACGTCCAAACTCAAAAGAATGCTCGTCTCCGTCTTTCCAAACTGCACAAAAGCGCAGACACGCGCGACCATCTTGTCATGCCGGGTGAAATGGTTATCATGTTATTACTACCATGAAGAAGATCAGTATTATTATGTCTTCCTCGAACAAAAAAGAAAGAGGCAAAGTCACCCCTTGACCTCTCTCAATCCAGCAGGCAGGAGCTAGATTGCACTGCTTCTTTTGAAGGTGCCAAAGGCAGCACAAGGCTTGACTAACAATGCTGTCCATGTGTTTGTTTGATGCTCTCCCCATCTTGGCTCAAGGCCGGATGGCATTCTGAAACGGTATACCAAGCAGGGATGAATCAATTCCAACGTCACGACTGAAAGCAAAGAATCAGCGCGACCAGGCGACAAGAAGGCGCACGTCGGCCCAGTTCAGGAGAGCAGCGACAAGAAAAAAAGAGAAGAAACATAAAATGGCCACCGCCCCTCCGATCGGCTCAACTCACACGTCTCGCTTGCAGTGACTAAAAAGCCACCAAACAAGGAAGGCACCTTTTTTTTTACAAGTCACGGGCTGCAGCCATGGCCGCGGGCAGGAGCTTGCTGAAAATGGGAGTGCCGAGACCCGTAGCGGCATCCCAACCCTCGGCGGCAGCAAAGCCGTACTTGAGCTGCTCACCGCCGCGACCAATGGCGTTGGTGCCCTTGACAATGTCCGTAAAGGCATCCGAGTTTTGGTACAAGAACGGGTTGAGGTAGCCCATCTGGGGCTTGCCCGCTGCAAGACGCTCCTCGTTGATGAGGGAGATGAGCGCAGCAAACATGGGGCAGGAGGCCGAGGTACCGCCGACAGGCTCCACCTCGCCATTCACGTAGACCTGGTAGCCCTCGCCCAGACCCGAGACGTCGGGAGTAGCACGGCCCGTGGCAGGGAAGGAGTTGGCCGGAGGAAAGTTGGCGAGCGAACGGCCCTGAGCCACGTACGCTGCCACCACCTTCTGCTGCCACGTGGCGTTGGCATTGGAAAAGCGGAAGGAGAAGCCACCACCGCTGCCAAACTGGTCCGAGGCCATCTGCTCTGAGCCAGCCTCACCCACAAAGCGGGTGGCACCGACAGCCGTCACCCAGGGTGAGGAGGCAGGCCACGACGGGAACAGGGTGGGCAGCTGGGAAGGAGGGAGGACGGCAGAGCCACCAGAAATGATGCTGGAGGAAACATTGGCCGTCGCCGTCACGGTTTTGTAAATCTTGCAGGTACCCTGAGGCGGTGGTGGTGGGGGGTTGGGGCCGCTGGCGAAGACGGCCTTGAGTTCTTGAGTGTAGGGGTCGGTGAAACGCAGCTCCAGGGGAGTTGTCTCGCCATCCAGGTAGAGAGCAGTGCCGCCAAACTTGGCGTGCTTCAGCAGGCCAGCGCGTGCAGACATGGTAAAGTTGCGCAGCTTCTCATCGCCCGCACCAGAGTATTCGGCGCCGAAATCAATGTAGGTGTCGGCAATGGTGCCGTTGGGGCAGTGCACCTTGACCTTGCCACCGCTGACGGAGACATCACCGTTCAAGATGTACACGTCGCGTGACTTGAAGTACTTGGCGTCCTCTGTCACCTCGCAGTGGTAGTCGGCGTCGGTGAAACCAAGCGCGCGAGGAGCCGGCGCGGCCATCTTGGCCTGCACGGCGTTGCTGGGGGGATACCAGGTCCAGCCCGGCGCACCGGTCTGCTGAGCCATGGCACAGCACTCATAGGCCTCGGCATTCTCGGTAGTCTGGAGCTCGCCCTTGGTCACTTCGACGCCCTTCTCGCCGGGCTTGGAGGGGTCGCACTGAGGCTCGGTGAAGCCCGAACCAGAGTCGCCAGAGGAGATCAGGACGGAGATGCCCTTGGCGGCAAGCTTGGCCCAGTTGCTATCCACGGCTTGGAGGTCCTTGTCCTGGCAAGAGAGCTGGTCCAGGTCACCCTGCCAACCATAAGAGATGGAGTTGACCAGGGGCACGTCGGCAGTGGTGAGGAGCTCGGTCGTATACACGTTCAAGTCGTTGCAAAAGTCGTTGTTGGGAAACTCCCAAAACTGCGTGGCCACGCCATCGGCCACACCCATGATGAACTGGATGTCCAGGGCGGCCTCCACAGACGAGCCCTCAACGTAGGGGGAGCCCACAAACTTGGCAACCTGATCGTCACCCGTCTGGGCCTTGGGAACCTCGGCCTTGAAGAAGGACACCAGGTCATTCTTGTTCATGTACTGGGCCTGGAACTCGGCCACGGCCTGGATGTTGGAGCCGTTGCGGTTCACAGTGGCGCCAGAAACATTGTACGACTGGGCAATGACAGCCGGGGTGACGGCGACAACATCGCCCACACTGCGCACAGATTCGCGGGGTGGGATGGGGAGACCATGCAGGCCAAACACCGTCTCGACGGCGTCGGCAATCTCCGCTGGCAGCGTGTAGGCACCTAGTAGCAAGAAGAAGCGAGACGCACACCATGCCGAGCAAGGTCGTGTCAGCATCAGCCTGTGAGTGGACAGGTCGGCAGATACCACCGCCGTCATCTCGAGGAAAAGGTTCCGAGGGCGAACAAAAGTACAAGAGTCCACGAGACACGAGGCACCAACCGGCATGGATCTTTGATTGACCGTACTTCTCACTCTTGGCCAGGGCAAAGGTGGTGTCCAGCAGGGCCTCAGCTTGAGCGACGGTGCAGATGACCTCCACGTTGTGAAGGCGCACGCTAAAGGCAACCTTGTTCGCCTCGAGCCACTGGATGACAGCAGCCATGTGCTCGGGGCGGGGGGCAGTCAGATCGGCGATTTGCTCCGTGGTCAAGTACTGGCCGTACTTGCTCGAGGTGGGATCGGACACAGCGAGCGCAATCTCAGCCAGCTGGTCCAGGTTGCGCTGCTTAAGCGCAAACGTGAAGCGGATCTCCTGCTGAGAATCCACGGCATAGCCCGACTTCCAGAAGCAGGGATAAGTCGGCGCTGCAACTCGCACAGAGGCCGCGGCCGACGAGGCCACGGCCACGGCAAGCAGCACCGCCAACGCGGAAGCTTTGGCCAACATGACGGGTGACCCAAAGGTGCCGCAGACAAAAATCCTAAGAGCACCATGGATCCACCCCCCAAAAAAAGCGTGAGTTGCCAAAGGAATCCCCCCTCCCCTGGCTATCTCAGTTGAAGTCACGCCGCCTCATCAAACCGGGCAGCCGCTGCCATTACAGCCACAGTGCCACAGTGACAGCCGCCGCCGTAATGATGATCAACGGGGATCGCAATGATGATGATGATCGACCAACTACTCACTGGCGCAAAGGGGAAAATGCTATTCGCAACCTTAACTTTATAAAAGCACGCATCAAGTGCGTAGTATTGTCGTGCGGGTTATACAGGTGAACTGCATAAACTGCATAATTCGCTGCAAGAACTCTCTTCACAGCAAAGGCGTTTTCTGATTGTTGGTTTTGCTCCAGAAAGGGGTCTCAGCTTGTTTGAAACAGTAGTTTTGCCGTTACAGATGTGAGAACTGTTTTCGAGAACATGTGTTTTTACTGTTGTAGCCGCAGGCATTGGTGCTGGAGACGGTAGAGATTGCGCAAGCGTACAAGGATCAAAATTCATGCAAGCAAGCAGGCAAACAACTCGAAACTGGCAGAAGGTCAAATTTGGGCTTGGTGCACAGCCCGAAAGAAACCTCCATGCGTCACCACCATCACCATCTGTACACGGCACACCACGCTTGCAGGGGCATGACGCCCGGCTGCGGTCAGCACCATGGTTGCATTACGGGGCCTTGCCCTTGTGTTGGCCAGCCGGACGCCGGAAAGGGACACTCTGAATCGTCAGAGGCCTGGAAGAATGTCTGCAAGATGTCATCCAGCTCGGCCTGCATCTGTGTCAGCTCGGTTGTGGCATTGTTGCTGAGCTGCTCCATCACGACACACCCATGTCGGCGTGAGAAGGTGAAACAGATCCACGGCCCCCCTCCTTGCCACGAACATTATGTGCTCAACGCCACTTACATCAGTCAATTCACGAATGTCATTGACCACATCATACAGCAGTGTCCCATTGGCCGGTACGTAGGCATGGGGCACGGTCTGGTGATCTGGACCACCTGACAATACCACAGCGTGGACCCATGGATGAGATCACCGTGCGAGACGGGGCGGCACCAGCCATGCAGCAGCACCTACCGGATACGCATTGGCCAGGCGAATACGTGCAATCCTTGAGCGCTGATTTGAGGTAGCAATTGCCCTCCTCCTTGTCAGCTGCCGTTGCATCGCGATTCCACCTAAGCTCACCGTCACAACCAGGCTTTGAGCTCTCAGACCGTCCGAACCAAAAATAAAACAAAAGAAAGCAAAATACATCAGATCCAGAACTTAAAAAAACACAAAGTGAAAACAAAACAAAAAATCAAGAAACCAGGCCTATTAGCACACGTTAGCGTGCCCGTGGCCAAGAACCTGTCACTTGAAAGGTCGCCACCCATTGCCCGTCATCCGTTGCCCTTTGCGACGCGAATGGGCACAAATAACACACGCACCGGAAGGAAAAGCCCTGACACTTGTCAAGCTGTTGACAATGCCCGCAGCAGTCGTTGTACGAGCTGACGTTGAGAACCTGCACGTCGTTCCCGGGACAACACACGTCATACGCAACATTGCACTTGCCACCGGTTTGATTGGCCACGATGGTCCAAGTGTATGGCTCGCCCCCTGAGCCGCGAAGAAGCTTGAGATTTCCTCTTCGGTATCCAAAGCCGCAGTCCTTGCTACTCGTGCACAGGTCGGTGCTGTTGCCAATCACCACGCTCTGACGCATCACAGATGGAACTGCGGCCTGGAAATTGGTCCAATGGCTGACGCCATCCAGCGTGTTGGTCGTATTGCACGTGACCCCAACGGCCTCACACAAGGTCGGCAGCCAATCTGCAGCATGCATCACCTCGGTGTACTCGCCGCTGGCATTGGGAAATTTGACTCCGTTGGGGGGACGGATAAACGCCGTCCCTCGCACCCCACCTGAACCCGAAGATGAAGGCCGTAAGGTCCGAGCAAACTTCAGCACCCCCACCACCTTTCTTCCACTTTGTACCACGGCCAGCCTGACCTTCATAAATGGAATGTTTGCCTCCCCGGAGCGGATAGTTGCGTGCTCCTACCGCATCGCCACCCACCACGGGTCCTGCAAATGATACATGCACCCAATGATTTTACCTCGTCTCACAATCTACCTTTGCAACGCACTGGTGCACCGCACGTACCGCCGTTGTCGGTGGTAAAGATAATCAAAGTATCTTCATACATGCCCTGCGCTTTGAGAGCCCGGGTCACGTTGCCAACGCCTTCATCCAAGGCCGAGATCATGCCGGCAAAGGTGAGACGCTCTTGGTCCGTGATGACATCAGCGTAAGGCTCCTTGTACTGTGGTGGCACCTGCGCGGGGGCATGCACCGCCTTGTGCACCAGACCAAATGCCAGACGATGAGACCCGGTCGAATACTGGCAGCCCTCCAGCCTCTACAGTTGAAAGAATTTCGGATCGACACTTGCCTGATATGCCAGGTAGAGGAATAGCGGCGGATCAGCCGCTTGTCGCTGGTTGATGATGCGAATGGCTTCTTCAGAAAAGATGGTGGTGCTATATTGTCCCTCTGTTCAATTTACCGTGAGCCATCTCCATCCAATACCTCATTTCCTCGGCAGATGTGCGCGCGCATTTCCCTGCCACCCCACGCGCTCTTACTCAGGTCCCAAGCAGGGATGGAACAGTTGGGCCCGCAGTGACGTCCTTCATCACGGTGCATATCGTATGCGTTGTCCGTCTCATGGGTGAAATAGTCCTGGGTGGGTGGAGAAAGTGCCGTAGTCCAAGTGAGTGCTCGGCAAGCAATGGGCAGTGCAGTGGTCGGGGCGTGACGCTGAGCTGATTCCTTTCTTCAAACACCCTGCATGGCCAGCCACATCATGTACATACCTCGCCCCCACTATAATAACCCAGGAAAGAGTTGAATCCTCGAAAGGTGGGGGTGTAGGCCTGTGGTCGGTCCGAGGATGAGGGTGAGCTTTGGAACTCCCGACGCCCGTGCACAAACGCTGCCGACAACGGGTTTGCTGTGGCTACTTACCCATTTGTAAAAGCCCATGTGCCACTAGTAATCAGGAAAAGTTTACAACGCAGAAGGAGGCGCGGCCGTGAGCAGTCCCGTCGTGACTGGTGGGGGGAAACCCAAAAAAAATGGCCTTCTGAGCCACTGCAATCAATGTTGCCGAGAGTGATACCCAATGTTCTTCACAAGATGACAAACCTTGCCCACGGCACGCGTGTCGTACCCGGCCTCTCGCATCTTGTCGGCAAGTGTGGTATCATTCAGCATGAGCCCATAAGAATCGCGGGGGGGGATCCAGTCGGTAACGCTGGTGGGAAGGAATGGTGGGGGACAATGGTGCACGCTTGAGCTCAAGGACCCCCATGCTAGCCATCAGACGGTGGCAGGATCGCTTGGAGGGTTGCGCCAGCTTGTGATGGTGCGTGATCTTACCCGTGATGCATGGCGTAGCGCCCCGAGAGGATCGATGCGCTACACGGCGCAAGGAAGCCCCATCAGCCGCCCGTTGATTCGATTCAAGAGACCACAGGCGCACGCATGAACCGCAACCAGAAGGACCACGCACCGAGAAGGGGAGCACACGTCTTGCATGTACATTTGCGTAAACAGCAAGCCCTCTTCTTGCAATGCGTCAATGTTCGGCTAGTTTGACGGATCAATCCACCGTGACGGCCAAAGGATCGCGGGTGAGGGCAGGCCCAGGCGGTGTGCAGCCAACACCAAGGGATCGCGCACGCGTCAGAATCTACCGTGCGAATCTGATGTCCACGAAAGTAGAGGTCATCATAGCCCAGGTCATCAATCACAATGAACAATACATGGGGCTTTGTGCCAGCCGCCACCGCATGCACTGATTCCACCATCATCAGCCACACCACGGCCAGTAGCGCCGCCGCGATCGCCCCTGTCATGATGGCTCTGAATGCTGCTTGTCTAGTTGTCAGACGAAAAAAATTAACATCCGATGTAAAACACAACAACAACAACAAACAACAACAACAGTAACAGCAAACAACAGTCACAGAAAACAACGATAATAATTTATGATGGGCGAAGGGGGAGGGGGGTTGCTGTTCTGCGAGAGTTGGTCACCAACGTGAGGGTGGTTGCAAGAGACAAGGACGAGGGGAGCAGTGCAGGCTCGATTGGTGAAAAGAGCAGTCTAGATGATGCAAATGCTTCAAAGAGCGAGGTTGGACGCGCAGCGTCCAGGATACAGAGAGACCATCAACGGTCACACACCCACAAACTGCGGTCTGTGAAGCTATCGCGTCAAGAAAAGATAGGAGCCCAAACCTTGCCGGCCGGAAAAGTGCAACGCAGAGGGCCAAGCGAACATGAAGAAGACACCGCTTCTGCGCGCGGCGCAGAGACACAATGAAAGGCAAATAGTAAAAGAAAAGAAAAACAAAAAAAAAAAAGGAGAAGGAGAGAACGACGAGAAGGACGCGGTCGAAGGAGACGACAGCGCGGCAAATGACCAATTATTTGGGACTTCAGGGCCAGCCTGAAGGGTTGGTGCTGTTATTCTGCCACCAATCATCATCATCACCATTGCCAGCATCAGCACGCGCGCGGGAGTCAAAGTAAATGAAGAGAAACAGCATCCACATCATGAGCCCGTAAAACACGGCCGAAGATGCTGTACGACGGGCCTAAGGCGTGCATGAGCACCCCCAAACGCCATATTCCATCCAGAAAGCACCAATCAAACGTGAGCAGGTGTGGAACGGGCATAAAGAGGTTCATACATCAACCAGTCCACCAAATCGAGCCATGAGCGCCAACTGCCGAGCTCAATGCGTACCATAATGGCGTGGGCGTGAGCGGCATGATGAGCCTGCCGCACCCATGCAGCTTGCACCTAATCAAAAGTCGGGCGCACACGCAGGCAGTCAGTCAGTCTCCTCGAAACGACCTCGCAAAGACCAGCATAAGCACAACTTGGTTGTTAAAGAGAGCAAAATTGACCCAGGCTCAGGGTCACCTACCAGGTGGGAATGCCACACTGCCAAAGCCCCAAGACAAGGACACAAAAACATGGAGCAAAGGGCCTGGCCTGTTGATGCCGCCAATGGTCGCGTGAGCGTAGACAAGAACATCCGCACATCATGGACACGGCTCGATGCGATCCAGCCAAAAGGGCCATGGCGCCGCAAAACGTACCCATAAAGCTATTGGGTCGGGCAAGAGGATCGACGCCTCGCGCGTCATTGGGAACCACCCGCAAGGCTGAGTACCAGGCTGCTGCCTCCCCATCCTCCTCCTCGATCGGTAAATGGTGCAGCGCAGGCGGCGGATGGGCCACAATCATGGCCAACTGCTCGTCCGTTTGCTACAAGCCGAAAAAACGACGTATCCGCGACGCCAAAATATCAGGGTCGCCCCCCAAAAAGAAGCACATACGCACAAACACACGCACAGAAACCCAGGCAGAAGAAAACGCTGCCCAAAGCAATGTCTTACTTGAATCAGCATGGAAACAGTGGGAATGTCTGCGCCATGCACGTCGGTCCCGTTCACCTCAAGAATCTGATCCCCTTTGGTCACACCCACACGGGCCGCAGGGCCCAGGGGCTCGACGTCAACAATGTACGTCTGAGGCACAACAGTGCACTGATGAGGCAGGCCTTGCTACAACTAGAACGGTGTTGGCTTGGTACCGTGCGGATGGGGCTCACCCAACCGCTTTGGAGCGCGTGAGTCCCACGTCACGTACCGGAGCATGGCCTCCGAGGGTGAACCCGAAGCTGTCGCCTTGACGAGTCAGCAAAATGTTGCGCGGGCCGTGGACAAGGGGCTCTCGGGCATTCATGGCCGTCATGTCAATGGATACCATACCCCTGCATTCAAAGTAAACGGGCAAAACCGGTCAAACGCACGAGCGAAAAGCGATGTCCCATTGGCGCTAAAGACAAACGAGGGGGCGCCACCGTACCGAGGTTGCGAACGAGTGGCCTCCGCAAATGAAGGCGGTGCAGCTTCGCTAAAATGCGTCTCTTGTAAAACGGCGTCGATCTCTTCTGCGTCGGCCCCAATAGGTCGCGAATTGCACCAGGCTGGTTCGTCGTAGGCCGGGGGCGGTGCCATGGCAAGGCTCCCTGCCGCACTGCTTCGACTCACCCGACGAGAACTGTACTCAGTCCGAACAGGGCTCACCCCCACCTCCTCCATCAGTGCATCTGACTGTCTCGGCAAGAGCAGCGCTTCCTGATCCTCCTCCATCTCCTCCTCCTCCTCCTCCTCGTCGCCATCGCCATCGCCATCGCCATGCCCACCGACCAAGAGCGGATGCCGTTCGTGCTCATTGTCATCCGCCATCTTCGATCGTCTTTCTCTCTCTCTCTCTCTCTCTCTCTCTCTTTTTTACAATGAAATTGGGAAATGTCAGATGAATTATTCCTTCACATCTCCTGACACACACTCACTCTTTCTTGGCTTGCACGCCTACACTCCACTCGCTCTCGTACGACACTACACTCGCTCTCGTACGCTCTCGTACGACACTACACTCGCTCTGGTACGCTCTTGTACGACACTACACTCGCTCTCGTACGACACTACACTCGCTCTCGTACCGACACTATGCACTACCTCTCGCACTACACCACACTACCTCTCGTACTGCACTCGCTCTTGTACTGTCCTCTCGTACTACACTTCCCTCGTACTGCTCTCGCTCTCGGACTGGAGTCGCTTCTGCTGTTCTCAATTTCAGAAGGACAACACAAAAAACATGGAAGCATCATGCCAAAGCAAAAGGATTGCGTGTTGGCCAAGAGGGGGAAGAACCCGATACTGCCTTGGGCAGCCATTCACAGAAAAAAATATCCAATTAGAATCAAATCACGCTGTCAATCACCTTTTGCAATTGAGCTTGCTGTGCCCCTTCCTCCTTGAACTTTTTATCCTGTGCCAGCAAAGACCGAAGCGCGGCTGATGAGGTCAGGCTAGCCACGAATAAAACAAGGAGAAACAGGCCGAACCAAAACAAAGACAAAAAAAAAAACATGGCAAGATCAGTCAGCACAATAGACGTACCCCGTAGGCTTTGCGGAGATTCGGCGAGAGCTTGAGCGTGGTGGTACCACCGCGCTCGTCGCCCACGGCAATGATTGGGAAGGCCGTATTGAAGGACACGTGCGTCAGCTTGCTCTTCTTGACAATGGGCTGCTTGCAAATGGCCTGATACTTGTTCGTCGAGAGATCGTAGAGGTGCACGATGCCATCCGTCGTCACGGCCACAAAGACGGTCGAGGAGTAGGGCGCCCACGCCACATCACCCACAGCGTTGCCCAAATCAAAGGTAAAGACGGGCTTGTCCAGATCCTTCTTCCAGATCTTCACCGACCAATCCGCCGAGCACGAGATGAAGATGTCCGGATGGAAGGGATTCCACGCCACGTGGTAAATGGCCATGCTGTGTGACTTGTACGAACCAATATACTTGGAACTGTAAGCCTTGGAGCAGAGGTGAATGTCACCCTCCTCCGTTCCAACCAGGAAGAGGCGGTCTTGCGTTGGGTGGAACGCCAGTGCCGTGCCGTTGCCGAGACCAAAGAGCGGCTCCATGACGCCTTCCTCGTCCGCTGCTGACTCTTGCAGATGCAGCTGCACAATGTCTGTGTGCTGCAGTTCTGTCTGCACCAGCGTCCAGCTCGTGACCCGGCCGTCTGACGATACCGACGTAAAGTTCAAGTTGCCGTCCACATCATCGGCATGCCACTGCAATTGCCACACGGGATCGATGTGCTTGCCAGTCTTGGCCGAGGACATCGCCACGGGTGTCGAGACATTCTCCTTCCTACATTGTCGGGGTGAACAGCGAGCACACATGTGTGTTAGGCGGCATCGCTGAAAACTGCGACACGAGCACTTCAACGCAACCGAAGCAACCGGGGCATGACGCGTCATCAAACGTACGTAAAGTCGTAAACAGCCACGTCGCCATTGTAGAGACCAACAACCACAATCGAAGGGTGATCCGGATGCACGCTCAGAGACATGACGCCATGGGGCAGAGTAATGGCATACTCAGGATAGGAGGGCTTCTTCAGGGAGAAGAGACACAGCATGCCACCGGCCTGCTTGCTAAAGTCGTACGAGCCAAAGCCAACATAGAGCAGGTCCTTGTAATGCGGGCTCCACGCCATGCTGGTGACAGTCTTCTTGCGCGACTTGTCATGAGTGAGCTTCCACAGGGGCAGCAGGCTACCTTCAGCCGGCTTGAACTGGTCTGAAGGATCATCCCAATAGCGGAAATCTTGCAACACATCATCAAACGTGTTCTGGTTGGTCAGGCGCTCCATCTTCTCCACCGTTGCAGGTGAAAAGTACTGCAACAGATATCTCCGAGGTGAGACTTGACGCATAGGCATATGGCAACAGATTCAAAAACACACAAGAGCGACAACACCGGCCGGGACGGGCAGGGGTCGGTCACTCACGTTGGCCATGGCAGCCCAACTGGCAGCAGCGTCTTCGGGCTCTTGCAAAATGCTACGTTTCGTGGTGCTGGGTCGCTTGATGGTCACCTGCTTGTTCTTCTTGGGATCCTTGGCAGCGGCCTGCTTGGCCAGGTCGGCCACGTAGGCGTCGTACATGACCCATTGCGTTGCGTTACCGCTAAAGTTACGTCGGGCGGGGGCATCCGTCATGGTACCGCGCTCGCGCATGACGTGGTTGTAGGTTTGCGAAGCGCGCTCGCTAAAGTTGAACTGGTTGCGCAGGGGCTTGTCCTGTTGATCCTCTTCGTCCTCATCCGGCTCCTCGGCGTTCTCGGCCGCCACCGCGGGGGCCTCCTCGGCCGCGGCTTCTGCCGCAGCGTCGTCCCCAGTGATCCCCTCGTCCTCTTCGGTGGTGGGGGCCAGCTTGGTATCCTCGCCCTCTGCGCCTTCACCGGCGTCCGGTGCATCTGTTCCTGCATCCACGCCAGCCTCCGTGGTGAGCGCAGCCCCCGCCATACTGTTGCGCTTGAAGCGATTGCGGGTCTGCTGACGACGGCCTTCATCGCTCTCCTTGTGCACAATTGTCCCCGAGAGGCTAAAGTGCACTGCACATTGCTCCACGCTGGACATTTGGCGGTAAGCTTGTTCCTGCCCGCAGTGTCCGTGACAGTCCATGATACACACGGTAAACAGAGATGACCAAGTGAGCCAAGTAGCTAGCCAGCAGCACGAGCCTGAAGCTTGTAATTTTTCGAAGCAAAAGCGCTTCGCACCTTGAAAGAAAAGCGAACAATGTTGTCAGGAGCATGAGGATTGTCGGCGCGCAGGATGCGCGTCAACTCTTGGTCCAACTCCTCGGTTGTCAAAACCAACTGGGCGCCCGAGCGAGGAAAGGCCCCGGGCCAGCACACGTCATGAGCAGCGCTCGAGAGCTGTCAAGCCAAGCAGAGGAGCCAGGCGTCTTGATGCTCCACGGGGTGCAAGGCTAAAAGAGGCTAAAGAGACAGGTAGAGTTCACCTGATCAACCGGTTTCACGGGATCCTTTTGCTGAATCCAAGCATCGACATCTGGGCCCTCGCCACCAAGACGGGTTCGACTACCAGCATGCAGCTACAAGAATATACCCCAAGAGTCATGAGTCACACATACAAGCCGGAGAAGAACAGAAAATAAAAGAGCAAGTGTCTGTGCCACGACCTACTCGGCTGACAGAGCGAAGCTGCGACTTGGAGGCCAAGCTCTTGCTTTTGCTGCGCAAGCTTTGGCGCGAAGCCGCCTTCAAGTCGCTCATGGTGCCTGCAGACAAAGAACAAGGACTCTCGAGTCAGTCACGAGAAGCGCAACAGAGACTGCCACGTCGCCGAGTGTCCCTATAATCAAGTAAACCGACCGTGGAGAAGGAGCGCACCACAACAGCCAGGCGCAATCTGGGGCGATCTGTGCGCACGGTCTGTGCTCAAGCACTGATTCGGAATGACAGTCTTTGAGGCAGAAATCAAAGAGTTTGGCGGTGTGAGAAAGATGCACAGAGCCGGACAATACCAAGCAGTCGATGCTTTTCGAGAGGGGGGGTGAGCCTTGGGGTGGCCACATCAAAGCCACACAGCCAACCAGCAAAATCAGACGAGATGACCGCGTCCCTGCCCTCAGGGAGGAGGCAGCATCGCGCGATTGTGCTGAAGCGGTCGTCGCCTTGGCGTTGATCGCTTACCAACGGTTGTCAAGGTCGAGCGCTTCTGAATAACTGGCACTGGATTAATTACTTTGAGAACTATACAATTAGTAGTTATCAAACTGCGACTCGTGTCACACTTGAAACTTGATGGCACAAAAGAAAAAAAGAAAAAAGGTTTCATCGTTGAATTACCAGTGTAAATAGATCCAAAAACTACCACAAGTAAAAGTTATAAACCAAGAGCGGAAACACAGGTGCCGCACCATAAGCGTGTGTGTGTGTGTGCTATGGGAGCATTGTTCTGTCTGGTAGGGAACCAGGCTTGCTGTCGCAGCGTGAGGCGGGGGAACGACGGGGGCACGGTGCCAACATAACATGGGCTGTACGTGGCAGTTGTTTGATCCGTTGCTCAAGACCACCAACATGGGCTCTGCTGTCTCACGTCCAGGTTGCACTCGTTTTTACACCTTTGTGCCAACCGTGTCCCTTCTTCTCGACCGCCACCGTGCCCTGTGCCATACCTTTCACTCATGCCCCGCTCAGGAGATGCTGCACTCCATGCACAGCAAGCACACAAGCCGCTCGCAACCGTCAACAGCAAGTGCACTCGCCTACAACTTGATTTGGACGCGGCGCTGCGCACTACACAAGCGCTGCGCACGCGTCTCACCCGCCTTGCTCTTGACCAAGAGCAACTCCAACATAAACATGACTGCCTTCTTGCCGAGAAACATCACCTCTCTACCGAGGTACCTGCCCTCATGTCTTTCGCACTGCCGGACACGGCGCGCCACTCCTCACCCCCTTCCCTTGACCTGCAGCTGGAGAAACTTGAATGTGTTGCGCGGCAACACGCCCGAGATCCGCAGCTACTCTTATTAGAGTCCTCTACCCTCTTGTCGGCACCACCTGAATATACCCGTCTTGAGGTGCCTCGCATCACAGTCATCAGCAACGACGGCTTGGCTCTTGCGGCACAGAGCGAGGTTGGCTCACCGCGCGTCTAAAGTATTCAGGAAACCCTGTGCACTTTTCACACCTTCTACGTCAGCTTGACCAGACGTTGCACTATTTTAGCAGGCACGACCAACATCCATGGCAAAGAGTGTCGGAGGGTGCCCTCGCACCGGCTTGGTGGCGTCCCGCACTCCACACACGTCTGTTGCGTTCACCAACAGCGTCGATGATGCGTGCGTCCGCCGATGCACCCTGATTTGAGGCCACATCTGTTGCAATGCTAATCATTTGATGTCCTTCCGGCTTCCCTGCACGGCTTTGCTCACGTTCAGTACCAAAGCAGTCTTGCTCAAGGCCCTGGATCAAAACACGTACACAAGCAAGCTCACGCTGGGCCAACGCCAGGCCTTGACCACAAGCATGGAGCCCCGCTTTTACCAAGCTGGCACTACCGTTATTAGACGCGGTGCCCGAGGTGAACGACTCTTTGTAGCCATCGAGGGTACTCTCAACATTTCGACAGGTCACGGTGCCAAGCTCTGCATGGCCCCACTTGTCTTTGGCGAGCTGGCGCTTCTTTATGATTGCCAGCGCACTGCGACGGTGACAGGTAGAGAGTTGCAATGGCTCGTTACTTGGCTGCTTCATCCATCTCCACCCACGACCATCAACCTCTGTGCTTGTAGCGCAGACTGACGTTCAAGCTTTTACAATTGACCGGCCAGCCTTCAAGTTTATAACCCGCAAGGTCATTTATCTCCTCGCCGGCGTGCTCTTGGCGTTGCTCACTTCTTTTCACGCACACGACTGCATCTTCACGTCTATGCACTGATGCAGGCAAAGATGGACGAGCACGAGCGGCTCGCAGGTCTGTTTCATCGCATGCCACTCTTCCAAGGCCTCGACAACTCTTATCTGTCCCAGCTCGTGGCGGGGGCGTGCGAGGTAGGACCAGGCTTTGGTGTGATCCCTTGGGACGCTGATGCCGACTGCTCATACCCTATTCTATCCCCAGGTTACTTTCGATGAGACGCAGCTGATTGTTCGCGAGGGGGACAAGGGGCACACCTTTTATCTCATTACAAAGGGTGAGGTCGAGGTGGTGCAAAATGGCCATGTCCTGCGCGTTTTGAAGTGTGGCGATCACTTTGGCGAGGGCGCCTTGCTTCAGACCAATAGCGTTCGCACGGCCTCTTGCAGAGCAAAGACGGCTGTGGCTTGTGCCACACTCGATCAGTCGGTCAGTCTCCTCCTACACTTACAACTCCTCAAACACGATCGCTCGGGCTGATGCGCCATCGATCGACCATATTGACCCCAACGAAACTCAGACGTTTGCCAAATTTATCGTGCCGTTGAAAGTCCTGGGTCGGCTCTCTTACTTGGGTATGAAAACCGTGAGCTGGACTCTCTTTAAAACTTTAAATGCACACGAAGGCTTGTGTCGATTCACGCGGCTGGTCGAACCAATGAATAGATGCAGAGGATGAGACTTTGCCAATGCCATCCCAACACTTGCTGGACACTGATCTTAGACTGGAAGACCTGCACGTCTTGAGGTAAATAGGGCTCGGTTAATATCCCTAAAACGGTTCTAAATGATGATGACCGTTTACAATGACCCAGCAATTGACTCTAGCTGTGTTTTGTGTATGTATGTGTGTGGGGGTGTAATTGCCAACAGTGTGTTAGGTGTGGGTGGCTTTGGGCGTGTCGACCTGGTCTATGCCCCACAGCATCAAAAGCAATGGGCCCTGAAGGTGTGTTGTTGCCCGAATCACTGCGAGAAGCTCGGAGCTAATTCCTTGTTGTTCTTATCAGGCCATTAGCAAGGCCGCCGTTTTGCAATCCAAGCAAGAGGTATACGTGCAATCAGAGCGCGAGGTATGCCATTGTGATGCAAGGCGGGCATGATACTCCAGTCTTTGACCTGTCAGGCCACGCTTTGTAGATTATGGCCGGACTGGACTCGCCCTTTTGCACACGGCTAGTCGCAACCTTCAAAGATGACTGCTATTTCTACCTACTGTCTGAGGTGTGTCTGTGTCTGCACCTGTGTCTGTGTCAAGAGGTCCTATTGGTGCCTGCAGATGCACACGAGCGTGCACACGCCCATATCAGGAATGAAGTAGCCAACGACATAAAGTGATACATGGTCATCCGACTTTACAATGTGATCCATAATCTGCTCCGACCTCTCAATTTGAACGTTAGGCACTACTAGGCGGCGAGCTATGGCGTCATCTCAAGTGTGTGCACCACAATATGTCCAGTCATCCAAGCGGCCTTGTGCCGCTGCCTTTTCGCTCGACATTCCAAACTCATTCGATGACTGTTTGATCATAGGCTGGGCGGCCCGCTGGCTGAGGATCACGCTCGCTTCTATTGCGCCTGTGTCCTTGAAGGCCTGGCCTATCTTCATCATCGGCACATCCTGTACCGCGATCTGAAACCCGAAAATGTAATGCTTGATGCCCGTGGCTATGTCAAGTTGGTAAGTCAGAGTGGGCGAGACCTGCTGCTAGATTATAGAGCCGCGTCTCTTCATGTCACCTGGCTATAGGTGGACTTTGGCTTTGCTCGCCACCTGCCAGGCAACAAGAAGACCTGGACCTTTTGTGGGTGTGTAAAAGTTGCCATGAGAGGCCAAGAGGTACCAAGCGGTGCTGAGTTCACACACGTGTGTGGAATCCATCTCGCGTTTAGCACCCCGGAGTACATGGCACCAGAAATCATCATGAATCAGGTCTGTGCAGATGGTGACACGAGGTCACTGGCTCGTTATGGGATTCTGGTTGAAGAGAAACAGAAAACACAGGAGGTTGCGGTACTGTGTGAATGGCGCCATTTACACGCATGGCCATCTGTCATTGGCAACAACAATGATTGGCCATGTCTTTGAGCTAGCCCACCCTGCAAAAGTGAAGATCGATCAGCTCGCTTGAAATGAGTTCTTACGCTGCAGTATTGTGGTTGCTAACCAACTGCAGGGACACGATCAGACGTGCGACTACTGGGCTTTTGGCATCTTTATATACGAGCTTTTGACAAGCAGGTGAGGTATCCTCTACGTGCCACCTCATGTAGACTTGCACGTCAAAATCACTGACTTGGGCACGTCTGACACACATGCGCAGGACCCCGTTTCAGCATGCGGATCCCATGCAAGTGTACAACAAGATTGTCTTGGGAGTGGATCAGATCCACTGTAGCCCGCGGCTCGGGTGTGACGCCAAAGACCTCGTTTATCGTCTCTGCAGGTCAGAATAATAGTCGCTTGTTGTACGTTCTTTCTGCCGATGAGCGCATTCGCGCGTGATCCTGTCAAGCTTTGCGCTGACCATCTGAACCGATAAAGCATGCACCGCTGTTGCCAATGCTTCTTCTGACGACATGCTGACATGAGTTGCTCTTCGCTTCTTTTTTGGACAACTTTCCTTGTCACGCTGGGGCAGAGATGTCAATGCAGACCGTTTAGGTACAGGAATCGAGGGCATCATGCACATAAAGCACCACATTTGGTTTGCTCGGGTAGATTGGGCCAGTCTAGCCCAACAATGTATACCGCCACCATTTGTGCCCGACATTTCCAAAGACGATCCAACACGGTAAGATCTCATGGGCTCCGAGCAGACCTGTTCTTTCAACCAGTCATCAGGAGATTCATAGACTCATGTTCACAGTCCAAGACAACCCTCATCGTCTTTCATCGTCTTCTTTGTGCTGTCAAAATTATAGATTTTTTGATGTTCCAAGTGAAATGGCGCCTGCTCCTCCAGTGGGCCCCTGCGCGCTGGATCACTTTTTTTGATGCAAGGCGGAAAGCCATGGCAAAATGACAAGTCGCGCTGCTCCTGACAGTTGATACGAAAAATTCACTTCAAAAAGGAAAAAAGTCTTGCAGCTTTTGTGTCAATTAAAAAAGCGTCACGCCTCGAATTAGAAGGAAAGGAGTAGCTGGCGAGATAAACGTCAAAGATGAGCTGTTAGATGAAAGAGAGCAAGAGAAACAGGGGTGGTGCAAGATACGGGGAATATCAAAAGTATGTCGGTGCTAGTTTGGCTTTCCCATGTTTGTGCTGAGTTCAAGCCGACCAGCATCGTTTAGGAGCCACTCTTCGTACGGTGCAACTCGTTCCGCCTGGACCTGAGTGGCTTTATCCACCTACAATAAGCAGAGCACGGATTACGTTGACGATCTTGTGGCAAGTCATGGAACGAGTAAAGCCGTCAACGAACGAGTAAGCCATCAACGTACCTCATCCACGAGCTCATCAAGCTCTTGTAGGAGACTGGAGACAAAGCCCGTACCACTATGCATTTCAACAGTCACCTCCCGCGCTGCCGAAAGAAAGGCATCTGGGTGAGAAGCACGAAACAAGAAAAAGAGAAAAAAAAAAAGAAAAAAAAAAGAAAAAAAAAGAAAAAGAAAGAAAAAAGAAAGATAAAGGGTGTGTGTCAGCCAACATCATATAATGACGTGCTTGCACGGGACGTACCGAGTTGGCGAGCCTTTTCATACTCATGATCCATGACGCTGGTGCCAGACTTCATGGAGGGCCGCTGAAGTCGAACAGGAGGCGCAGTGGCACCGTGCCTGGTTTCACGAGTGCCGATAGTGTTCGTTTGACCCTCCAAAGCCTTGGCCAAGGCCAAGGTCTTGAGCTGATCCACTTCGACGTATTGCACTCGATCGAGCTGCTTGACTTGGGTTTCCGGTTCGTTGGTTATGTCAGCGACAGGGTTTGCATCGAGCATCTCGTCGCTGCTGGTCTCTTCCTGTGAAGCGGCTCTGAGAAGCCGCACTCGCTTATCCTCACCGGCTTCAATGTCTGGAGCCGCGTGGGCAACGGGTGCGTTTGGTGCAGTCAAGGACATGTTTTGTTGGCGCCGGGGGATAGGAGGAGGCAGGGCGTCTGCGTCTGAGTCTTGGTCTGAGCTATCGGAACTAAACTCACGAATAGGGTGTGGGGCCGCCCGACGTCGAGGACCAAATTCCAAGACCGCATACTCCTCGTGCGGCGGCAAATCCTCGGAGACCTGAGAGCGGATGCTGTTGGAGCGACGGCTTGACAATGTATTTTGCCGGCCGGGAAGAATGCGAGACTGACGAGCAGCAGCGGCAGCGGCGACCACGGGTGACTGCATTGAAGCCATGGGGGGAAATGGGGTACACGGAGCGGGAATGCACGAAGCACCAAATGGCATGAGCGTGCGGCCATGTCTCAAAGATCCAAGGAGGCAAATTTCAATCAACATTGTCAGTGTGATGCCGATCAAACACACCTGGATCTGAGCAGGGGCTGGTGACGGGTTTGTGTTTGCCAGAATGGAGTCGAGGTAGGTGGAGACATTGCGGCCATCATCGATGAGGTGAAACGCGACATGGGCCTCGCCGCGAGCCTCGAGTTGAAAATGGTTGCCAACTTGACTGTGGGCTACAATGCTTTGAAGGGGCCAAACTTGGCGGACAAGCTTGCAGTTGCCATCCAGAAGACAGAGTTGCACCGGATCAAGACGGAGCCAACCACGTTGTCCGGACGGGCTGACACACGGAAAGAGCAGGAGCGGCGTGGTTTGGGGTGGCGTGGTAGCAGATGGCACGCCACCAGTTGAGCCTGAGGAGGAAGGGAGGGGGGAGGGGGGTGTGGTCAAGCACAATCATTTTGTCCAATGGTGAGGGCTCATGGAGGGGAGACGAGTACACCAAATCAAACACGAGCAAGCACTTTTTAAACAACAGTAACAGGGTCTGTAAAACGACGAAACGCACAGATGCTGCTGCGAACGGAGGGGACGGTGTTGGCGCGGTAGACAACTTCTTCTTCGCCTTCATCAATGGGCTTGCTGGTGGGGCGTGGGGCAGAGGTGCGACCGGGCAAAGGGCGGTCTGGCACGGCAGGTGCCACATTCTGGTGGGCACGCAGGCGTGCTGCAGCGGCAACGCCTTGCGGCGGGTTGGTTGCCCGCAATGGGCGGGGCAGCGGGGCAGAAGAAGGCGCTTCAAAGGTCGAGTCGAGAATGCCATGGGAGATGGAACGCTGCTTTCGCACGTCCACATGCACAAACTCTGTCTTGGCCACCGGGTGCCGACACACCTCCCTGTCGGAATGACCACGGAGGGAGTGAGCCGAGGGGGCCCGAAATGAGATGAGGAATCAAGGGTGGGCAAGAAGTAGGGCAGTGGACTTGAAAGTTGTGACGAGTTGGGGTCCAGGTTGACCAAGGGGGGCACACACGCACCGGAGTTTGGCGAGCCAGGCGGCTTTTTGAATGTCTGTGGTTGCAATGAGAAAGTAGCGACGATCTGGCACTGCCACGCTACGCAAGCGTTCCAAGACCACGCCACAAAGCAGCGGCAACAACGTGTGAGGACTTGTACGTTTGCCGGACTTGAGGCCGACCATGGGTCGCGACAGGTTGTAGGCGGGGCAGCGGGGACGGGGGCCTGTGGCGCGTCAAGGGCGCAAAAAATGTTCAAACTCACCAGAAGACGTTTGTAAACTTGGGGTGTTGGACCGAGTCTTTGATTTGCCAACAGCGGTTGAGGTCAATGACACCCTTGAGGTGTTTTTGACTCGCATCGGAGAAGTACTCGAGGCGTTTTGAGTTGGCCCAGAGGACAAAGTAGCGTTGGCGCCATCGCCGGAAATTGGGCGAAGCCAGGTTCTGAATGGGCGGACTCTTCACCAAGTAGCCCTCGGCCACCTTGACATCGTCCGACATGAGGTCATCGCCTTCCCGAGACGCTTCACGGCCCAATTCCTGTGATGGCGGCGGCGAGGCCGGTGCCTCGGACCGTGCCTCACCCGGCGCCGCCATCCCTGCTTTGCGGCACCGCAGGTCCCCCCCGCTCAACGCTCGCGCTGAGAGAGAGGAGGAAGAGGAGGAAAAGGAAAACTCAACAAAAGCGTTGTAACCCTCCGCCAAGGAAGCCCCTTGGCGCGCCTCGCGTTTGAATCACCTCGGTCGTGTGCCCGTCACCGTCACAGATACAGATACAGAGACAGTTAGACATGTACGGCTGCGCACGCGCGCGCTCTTGCTCTTTAAAAAAAAAAAATGAGGTTTTTGTGAATCGTGCAGGCACCCGCTGCCCCCCGTCAAGACAGAGAGAGAGAGAAGAGAGAGAAGAGAGAGAGAGAGAGAGAGAGAGAGAGAGAAGAGAGAGAGGGACGACAAGAACCAGCGAGACACATGACAGGAAGGGAGAGAGCTTGAGAGAGAGAGAGAGAGGTTGAGAGAGCGAAGTTTGAGAGCGAGAGAGATAACCACCACGATCACATCCCCTTCGTCATACAACATTTGGTAGCATCATACCTACCAGATGTCAGAATGTCAGAGTGCCAGAATGTCAGATCCTTTTCGTTTGTCGTTTGTCAGACGATCGGTGCGCGAGCCGAGCTGGGCACGGGGCACGGGCACGGGCAGTGTGTGTGTGTGTGTGTGTGTGTGTGATGATGACGATGATGGTGGCGGCGGTGGCGCGATGGGCGGCGGGGCTGGTGTTGGTGGTGTTGGTGGTGTTGGTGGGTGGGGTGGTGGGGGAGGATCGGTTCTGGGGTGGTGGGGATGTGGCTTTGCTGGAGCAGCGTGTTCGGGCGGCAATTTTGCCCACTTCGCCAGTGGCGACGCTGCCTGCCTTTGTGTCCCACGCGACGACGCAGCTCACCGCAGACTGCGCTTTCGACGATATCAACTACAATGACACGGACGGGCGCTCGTGGTGGCTCACCAGGTGCGATCTGCTTCCACTCTCGCTGCAGCCAAGCTGGTGTTGCGCCTACTGATCCCCAGGACACTGCTTTTTAGCCTACACTTGCAGCGGGTGATGCTCATGGCCATTGAGTTGGCCACCAATTCTTCCGGTGCGCCCTGCCCCGACGCCCGTTTCTTCGTGCTGCCCATTGATGCCTTCCTCTGGTCGTTTTGATCCGCCACTCACCTCGCTCATATCGCCAGCTGAGCCCAGCCTGCGCAACCGCACCAACTGTGCCTTGCAGTACTGGCTCGACAACGACTTTATCAACGACAATTGGTGGTTGGTCATTCTTGCAACCAATGCCATGCCATGCCATGCCATGCCATGCCATGGTCCACTTTGTGCAGCCACTGACGTTTGTCATTCTTCAGCTCACTGCATGTCACCACACGCCCAATCATCGCGCCAGGTGGAACGAGATCGGCACGCCTCACATCGTGGCCAAGATCCTGCTTACACTCAACCCCAGCCCAGACATGCTAGAACGAGCCCAGCCGATCCTGGCACGGGCCACCTTGAGTGCCGCCGCCGCTGCAACGGGCTGCAATCGCGTTTGGGCAAGTGGCAGCTTTCCCCCAGCATGCTCGCCATCCTTTTTGCGGATGCTGGTCAACCGCTGCTCAACTGCCCTTTGGGCCTTGCGTTTTGTTGTTCCGTGCTTGGTACAGTTGGCCCAGAACAACATCTTCCGCGGCCTTTTAGAGAGGGGCAATACTACACGTTTACGCACTGCCTTTGACCTCATCTATTCCACTGCCATCAGTCAGTGTCGGCGCTTCCCGCCGCAGCGCACTGGCGCAGCCTGTCAAGCCCTGACCACCGCCGTTCCTCGTAGTTCAAACGTCACAACAGGCAGATGGTATCCAACAAGACTTTTCCTTTCACCAGCATGGACCACAGGCATGTCATAGCCTTGGCTGCTTTCCCTACCTTCCTTCATCGACGCAATGACATCGCTGTCGTACTCATGAATGGACGTCGTGTCACCCACACCCTTAGCTTTACATGGGTTGGGGCTACGGTTCCATCTTCACTGCCAACATGCTCAGCATCACCTCATGGGCTGCCAACACCTCCTATGCCATTGACACTGATCCCGTACGCGACGCGGCATTGTGCGGTCCACCGACCTTTTCTCGACACATGCTTACTCTTGATTTCTGACCGGCTTACCCCACAGTGGAACGTCCTGGCTCAATACATCCTCAAGGGCCAACGCCTGGCCACCCGAGGTCCCAACTTTGATTACACTACTTCTGGCCGGTCTGTGATGCAAACCTCTGAACTTTGCTTTGTCCATGTATGCCTTTCCATTTGACCCCCTGCTCCTGCTTAGGCTCATGACATACTTTGTTCAAAACGACGAATTCAATGTCAGTTGGCCATGCGTCAACTCGACTCGCACCGCACCGCACCGCACAAGCGGCATCGCGAACATTGCACCCCTCCTAAGCACATCCGGCGCTCAACTGCCACCTGTGTGATGTAGATCAATCAAGGCCACTACCACTACTTTGCCGCCTTTACCGACTTTCGCCTGGCCTTCCCCGCGTTTGAGCCTCCACGCCTCACGCCGCTAGCCGTTATATTTGCGCCTCTTCTGCCTGAGGTAGGCGACGTAAATCCACGTCGTTGGGTCTTTGAGTGTCTCACAAAGTTGTCCTTCTTCCTTCTAGGTATCGCCCAGCGCTCCACAGAGCTCGGAGCTGCAGGCGTTTGGCAAGTGCCTTTTGACCACCGAGACTTGTGACCGGCCGGCAGAGACCGTACACTATTACGACTCTGACTATCTCGTGCATCAGCGTCCAAACTTGACAATATCGTTGCGCATGTTCTCTAACCGCACCATCAACTCGGAGTGTATTAACGGCGAAAACCTGCAAGGGCGCGCACTTGGTATGTCACGTGTGGTGGCCTCAATGGCAAACTCTTTTTGCCTCACCGCCTGTTCTCCCAAGATTGATGCATTCACTCCGCATTTCCTGCGCTCATTTGGTCGGATGCATTCGGTCGGATGCATTCGGTCATCAAACTAGCGGACGGGGTGGTCAATCTCTTTCAAACGGGACGCGAGTACGAAAACATCTTCCCAGGTACATGTGGCCAGCACTCTTGCCTCCCAAACATCCTGTGTGCTTGAAGTTTCTCGCACGCAGCCCGTTTCTTTTGCTGATGGCGTTGGTGTTGGCACCTTGGGCGCGGCACAGTGTGGAACTGGAAGCGTCTGCCTGGTACTACTGAGTTGCAAAGCCCGACAGAGTACACCTGTGCAACCGTATGCCCTCGTCCATCACGACCCCAGCCCATGCCTTGCGTGATATACCGCAAGACCATGCCGCTTAACCTCAAGCTCGCTCTTGCCGCTCGTCCCACAGGTGCAGGATGTGATTCATCGCCCCTGGACGGGTGCCGCTAGTGATGGACAAGTGGCTGCCGCCACGATGGACTTTGCTCGCGGCCACAGTGATCACATATATGCCGGTCTGTCTGTACTGGCAGAAAAGGGGGGAAAGGACCGGGGAGGGGGCAACCAGACGCTGTTCAGCTGGTGCGCTCACTGCTGCGTGCTCGCACCTATGACCTACAGCCAAGTCGTGGTTCTTTTACGACGATGCCGTCATCGCCCTAGCGGCCAATCTCAGCAGCACGGATCTGTCTTACAACCTCACGACCTCGCTTGACCAACGCCTGCTCAATGGCCCTGTGCTCATTGAATGGACCAATGGCAGTCAGACTGGTTTGTTGGCGTTTCACGACCGCAAACACGTGCGTAAGCACAACTCACCACATTTCACCGTTGGGACACAGAGTTTGCCGCAAATCAAAGCGTTTCGCTCATGGGCGTTCAGGCCCTTCGTCACGATGGTATCCGCTATGATCTTGAACTCTCTCCTGACGCCGTGATCGAGCTATCCACGGAGGTTTGTCTCGCGTCAAGGTCTTGTTTGATTGCCCATCTTTCTGGGGGCAAGGCCAGCAACTTGGTGATTCTGGGGGCCGTTTTGATTGCCATGACCAATAGGTGCAGCGCGGGTCATGGGCCGACATCACGCAGGGACCCTCCAACCCCGTGGCGCACGCTGTCTTCTCGCTCAGCGTGGTGCACGGTGTTGGCAAAGCCGTGACGCCAACATGCGCTTATCGCCTGACCCGCGAGGATAGCGCGCCCGACACCTCCAAAGTCACTGTCATCTCAAATGATGAGGCAGTCCAAGCCGTGATGGTTCAGACCACTGATGCAGCAACCGTCTTTATAGTGCAGCGCCAAGTCATGTCGACCGCTTATCTTGCGCGCTGTACGCTTGGACCAACAATTTGCGTCCATTGTCATTCTCTGAGCATCTTGCAACCACCGCGCCTGGCTCACGATTTGACTTGCATCGCTCGATGGTATGGTGCAATGTAGTGAGTCAACAACAGCATGCGTCCCTTGGCTGGTCTGTCACGCCATTGTCAGTGGGCATTGTTACGGTAAGCGGCGAGTCTTTGTATCTTCACGGGAAAGTTTGATGGGCAGGCCGGGGCGGGCTGCAACCACCAGAGGCTCATCGTGCGCCTGGCGGAGACTTAGGTGCGGCAGGCTGTGGGAAGCTCGGAAGTTGAATTGGCCGTCAACAATCCTCATCTGGAAGCACGTCCCATGAACGTCGTGTTGAATCTCAATGGTTTGACTTGCCCGGGTGCCACAAATGATCGTGTGATCGTTGAGTTGCCAGAGCATACCCACGGCGCAAGCACGCTGGTTGCATGCACGATTGTTCAATCTTAACGCGTGCTCCATTGCGAAGCGAGAGTGATGATGGGCGGGTCGATGTGCGGCGGAATGGACGTCGTGTAATCAAACCGAAAAAAAAAAAAAAAAAAAAACAGTCGACATAGACACGCCTCACAACTCACAAATCAATTGAGGGTCAAGATAATCAAACCGGCTTGGATGAATGTGCGTGAGCAAAGCTCTCAAGTTATGGAGATGCGGCTGGAGTCTAGTCGAAAAGACGCGCAAAACGTACAATGATGTGACACGACAAGGACTGAACAAAAGGAATAGATGTTGGAAAGGCAAGAGGGTCAAAACGGGGCACGATGCAGCCGAACTACCACGTCCAGGTTGCCCAGCCGCAATTTAACGCAGTGCGACCCGAGTGGCACAGGCAGGAAATGGTCCGCTGTTGCAAGCATGTGGGCAGGCTTGTCTTAGGCGCTGGCATCGCCGGAGCGATGGAAGTGGACGTTCTTCCAGCCATGCGGAGAATCGGCGGCTCGTGTCCACACACGGGTTTCTTCCGAACGTTGGGTGCGAGGCGCTCCATCCCTAGTTGTGGTCACCGGTGAGATGCCGCAATAACAATATCGGCATGTGACATTGAGGGTATGGCGGCAAACATGTGACACATACTTGTCAATGCTTTGCGTCAAGCGCACATAGGTTGTGATGGCGCTGTCACCCATCAGTTTCACCTTGGGGTCGATAATGGTCGTGTTAACTTGGCTCGAGTCGCGCCGAGGCACTGGCACGATCGGGCAAGGCACAAATCACGAAAGCCGGGTGAGAAAAGTGGCGGAGAAGAGAGTCGGTTGTTCCACAGCGTGAGGACTTACAGTTTTCAAAGTAAAACTTGTGAAAGTTCAGGCCCTCGATGAGGTAGCCCTTAGCCTCGGGTTCAAAGCAGGTTACGTCCTCGTCCACGAGCTCTCTAAAGAGCGTGGTACAGGTTGTGAGGTATGAGAAACGACTTTGACTGCAGTCGGGGGTGGTGGGCGAAACGAACTTGTAAGTGGACCAATCGCGAAACAAGATGGCTTTGAAAAGGCGCTGATTAGCGGTCAACAGGGCCAGGGTATCTTTCTCTGCAGCCGTGTCAGTGCTGGTGATGGTTTCTTGCTGCACCACGCCAGGTTCACTGGCCTGTGCGATGCGAAAGAATAGGGAAGGTAAGATAGGACACAGGAAAAGGACTCGGGGTCAAGCTGGCTGGCTTTGCAACTCAAGCATGCAAAAGCTTCCTGCTTACCCCGCGGTTGCCCTTGCGCATGAACATGGAAGCTGCGGCGGTCAGAGAGAGCATACGCCCCACGCCCATAACAGCCTTGACACTGCCCTATATCATGAGGAAGAAGGAAAATCAGAAAAAAAAAAGAATGAAAGAAAGAAAAAAACACACACACACACACACACACACACACACACACACACACACACACACACACACAAGTCGATGTCGGGGTTGCTAGCTTGGGGAGGGACCGACCTTGAGTTTGCGGCGAGCGTTGAACCTTTGCAGCTCGTCGATGGTCGTCTGGCGATGAACGGTGGAGGGCACGCTGGCATCGGCCAGCCAGGGATGCTTGAGAGCCTCGGCAACGGTGATGCGGCGGGTGGGATTGGTGGTGAGCATGCGGTCGATCAGGTCCTTGGCTTCGGGGGTGACAGTGTCCCATTCCGGGGAGGGGTAGTCATACGAGCCGCGCTTGATCTGCTCGTAAAGGGCCTGTTGGTTATCATCCCAAAACGGGGGGTAGCCTGGCCAGAGAGCAGAGACAAGGAATGGAAGAAGAAGAAGAAGAAGAAGAAGAAGAAGAAGAAGAAGAAGAAGAAGAAGAAGAAGAAGAAGAAGAGGAAGAAGAAGCGAAGTCAGGGCGGGCGAGGGAAGCACACGCAGATGTCAACGTGAAAGAGTGCAGGGGGTACTGAAAGGGAGGACCGACCGCAAAGAAGGATGTAAAGGATGGTGCCGCAAGCAAAGACGTCGACCTGGGTATCGTAGGCCTGACGCTTGATCACCTCTGGGCTCAGGTAGCCTAAGTCGGGTGAGAATGGCAAAGAGAGTGTCAATGAATGCTCAAGGGATCGCGGCAGCGCTGAGGCCTTGGTCATGCGGTGTACCTGGGGTTCCGGCAAAACCAAAATAGGAGGGGCCATTCTCCATCAGGACGGCAAGGCCAAAGTCCGTGATCTTGACGGGGGCATCCTTCTCGCGACTGGCCAACAACAGGTTCTCGGGCTGTGGTAGAGTTGGCGAGTGGGCGATTGAGAGAGGGCAGGGCTTGAGACAAAGTGTGGATCAGGTGGGCATGCAAGGTGGGTGGATGGCGAGCGCGAACCTTGAGGTCGCGATGGATGATGTTGCGTTCGTGGCAGTGCTGGAGGCCGACGAGAATTTGGTACATGCAATCGCGCGCGTCCTTTTCGTTGTAGAAGCTGCGGGTGACAATTTCATCAAAAAGCTCGCCGCCGGAGACATACTCGAAGACCTGCAGAAGGAGTATTCGTGGGAGAAAGGTGAGGAAGGTGAGGTGGCGTAAGGTGATGAGGTGGAGAAGGGCGGGTGTTTACGAGGTTCAAGAAAGCGGGGGCATGTACAAACCAAATAATAGTGAGTGCGGTCCTTGTAATGGTTGCGAAGGCGGACTAGCAGGAGGGAGGGCCAAGCGAAAAGGGGGTGTGGGTGAGTCAAATAGAAGGCAATCGCATGACTACAGGGCGGGAGCAGACTGACCAATGTGGTCATGTTTGAGCATGGTGCAAATGGCGATTTCGCGCTCAATCTTGGCAATGTCTGGAAGCGGGGCAGGAAAGGTTCAGATGGCATGCGAGGGTCGGCGGGTCGACGCGTCGGCGGCGGGATGAGCAGGTTGACAGGTTGACAATGTCGGAACAAACCAGAGCTTTTGACTTTGGCCGTGTTGATGACCTTGACGGCGCAAACTTCGCCGGTGGCCTTGTTGACACATCGGTGCACAATGCTAAAGGCGCCTCTGGGTGAAGCAAGCAGATTCAAGGGCAAGGCCGACAAGGCGTGAGCGTCAGGCGCGAGTGTAAGGCGCGAGAGAGGGCGCCGTGTGGTAACAAGGCACGAGCGAGGAGGAAGAGGGCCTAGGATAGAAGAGGGAGGGGCGAGGCGCATTGGCACGGCGGGCGCGGGTGGCTTACTTTCCAAGGACGGTGCCCTTGTCATTAAAGTCACAATCGTAAACATCGGTGAACTGCGCCATGCCGGCAGGTCCTTGCGTGCTCCTTGTCGGTCGGTGGCAAGTGGTGGCGATGACGGTTGGCGTTGATGGTACTTCCCACGATCCGCCTCTCTAGATGGAAAAGCAGCCAGCACACACAGACACACAGACACACATAGACAGACAGACACACACACGGGCACGGGGGGTTAGGGGTGAGAAGGAGAGCGGGATGGGGAGAAAGGGCAGGCAGGGGTGATGGACAATTATGGGTAAAGAGAGAGGGCGTGCAGGTCGTCAAGAGGAAGCGGGGAGG